CCACACGACACGTCGTCGTGTCCTACCAGAGCCTCTCGTCGTCCCACCGTTTAGCGCGTCGTCTCCGTGCCCACTTCACTGCAGGTCCGTGCTCCTTCCTGACTTCTTGAAGGGTTGGAGTCGGTCTCCTGGCCGTCGTCTTCTCCCAACAACGGCTGTCGCCTATGTCTCAGCTACAGTCGTCCGGATTCCCAAATAGTCCTCTCTTCCTCGGCTACCCAGTGGCTCTGTCAGCCACTACGCTGCTACGAACTGGTGAACTGCCACAGACGTCACATACGTCACTGCACGGCTTCACTGCTTCTTGCACAGTACCTGACTGGAGCACTTGTTGCTCAAATAACCGTCAATTCCCTCTTCTGGTTCAACACATGAACTAGGGAAGACTTCTCAGAGTACTGGCGGACTTTAGGTGACGCGTAAATCCACGGGAGCGGGAAACAACTGTCCAACTGACAGGACCAACCGTCGCACGTCCGACCTCTATGACGTGTCGTGTCTGACTGCTGGCGCCAGCCTGGCTCGCGGGCCGGACCCCCTTCCTTCGTGACGTCACTTTCGCCACGGGAGGTTTTCATTGGCTCCCGGTGCCACATTGCTGTCGGTGACCAATCCGGTGCCACTGACGTCACACGGTTTTAGCGGGAAATCAGGGAGGCAAGCGCCATCTTGGCTCCCTAAAGGGCCTATACCACAGGCCAAAATATTACTATTTCACTAATTTCTCGGCTCTCCGAGAACACTTCACTCTCTCCCATATATCAAATTGTAGCCTGCAACGTAGAGAACGCTTGGGAAAAGTAGACATGACTCTTACTGCAGGCGTGGGAGAATTATAAGGGGGGGGAACTCCGTCACAATATATATATATATATATATATATATATATATATATATATATATATATATATATATATATATATATATATATATATATATATATATGTCGTACCTAGTAGCCAGAACTCACTTCTCAGCCTACTATGCAAGGCCCGATTTGCCTAATAAGCCTAGTTTTCATGAATTAATATTTTTTCGACAACCTAACCTACCTAACCTAACCTAACCTAACGTTTTCGGCTACCTAACCTAACCTAACCTATAAAGATAGGTTAGGTTAGGTTAGGTAGGGTTGGTTAGGTTCGGTCATATATCTACGTTAATTTTAACTCCAATAAAAAAAATTGACCTCATACATAATGAAATGGGTAGCTTTATCATTTCATAAGAAAAAAATTAGAGAAAATGTATAAATTTAGTAAAACTTGGCTTATTAGGCAAATCGGGCCTCGCATAGTAGGCTCAGAAGTGAGTTCTGGCTACTAGGTACGACATATATATATATATATATATATATATATATATATATATATATATATATATGTCGTACCTAGTAGCCAGAACTCACTTCTCAGCCTACTATGCAAGGCCCGATTTGCCTAATAAGCCAAGTTTTCCTGAATTAATATATTTTCTCATTTTTTTCTTATGAAATGATAAAACTACCCATTTCATTATGTATGAGGTCAATTTTTTTTTATTGGAGTTAAAATTAACGTAGATATATGACCGAACCTAATCAACCCTACCTAACCTAACCTAACCTAACCTATCTTCATAGTTTAGGTTAGGTTAGGTAGCCGAAAAAGTTAGGTTAGGTTAGGTAGTCGAAAAACAATTAATTCATGAAAACTTGGCTTATTAGGCAAATCAGGCCTTGCATAGTAGGCCGAGAAGTGCGTTCTGGGTACTAGGTACGACATATATATATATATATATATATATATATATATATATATATATATATATATATATATATATATATATATATATATATATATATATATATATATATATATATATATATATATATATATATATATATATATATATATATATATATATATATATATATATATATATATATATGTCGTACCTAGTAGCCAGAATGCACTTCTCGGCCTAGTATGCAAGAACCGTTTTGCCTAATAGGCCGAGGGATTTTCTATTTTTTCAATAAAATGTTTCGAATTGGTTTATTTGAATCATTAATATTATATTATATTAAGAACATAAATAATTGACTTAGTTATGTTAGTTTAGGTTCGGTTAAGATAGGTTAGGTTAGGTAGGGTTGGTTAGGTTCGGTCATATATTTACGTTAGTTTTAACTCCAATAAAATATAATTTATTCATACATAGTGAAATGAATAACTTTATCATTTCATAAAGAAAAAAACTAGAAAAATACATAAATTCAGGAGAACTTGGCTTATTAGGCAAATCGCGTCTTGCAGAGTAGGCCGAGTACTGAGTTCTGGCTACTAGGTACAACATATATATAGATATATACCCCATGTGCAGTTTAAGGGTTAATCATTCGAACACGAATTTTCTCAATATTTCCTACTTTTTTCTTCGCTGTCAAGGGTAACTGAAAAATTATTTCTCCAAAATTCATTTTACAGTTTTATTTTGGTCTGACACCTAAAGGTCTTTGGTAAGGGCTTCTTACATTCTCAAAGACTTGTTTACACTTATTTGTTTAAGACTTGTTTACACTTACTACTTGTTTACACGTAACAAAGACTTGTTTACACTTATACACATCATGCTTATATGCGTTATTGGGAAATACAAGCCTGGTTATGCGTATTAGAATGTCAAGACCCACAAGCCTGGAAACCCACTTCGGTCAATCATAGGCCAGATACCCACACCCACATACCGACCAAGTCTAAGCGACTCAACTGCTTGCTGACTCCTTATGTACCTTGTGCTTTCAGCGTGAAGTCTCCAAAGGAATTCCTTGACTTGCTGCCGGGAACACGGGCAACAGGGATAAGAGCCTCTTCTGGATGTAGAGTCACTGTTTACCAACGTACCTGTAGATGAAACAATCGGGATGATAATGGACAGAGTATATCGTGGTCCGGCTTGTACTCCTCTTGACATACCAGAAAGCATACTAAGAAAGCTACTCCAAGCCTGCACTAAAGAGGCACCCTTCTTGAGTCAAGATGGGGACATGTATAAGCAAATAGATAGGGTCACCATGGGTTCTCCCCTGGGTGTCCTGTTTGCGAACTTCTGCATGGGGACCATAGAGAATAGGGTCTTTGTTGACATGGACTTGACACCCGAAATATACTGCAGGTATGTTGCCAATATTTTTATGTAGGTACCTGATATTAGACTTCTGCAGCAGCTGAAGGAGGCATTCGAGCAGAATTCTGTGTTAAGTTTCACTTACGAGGTAGAGAATAATGGGAAGCTGCTCTTTTTAGATGCTTTTTTAGTCACGTAGAGGAACAGAGGCTTCCACACTGTAGTCTACACTAAGGAAACAAATATAGGAATGAACCTCAATGCCAATAATGACTGCCTAGACAGGTACAAGAGGAGTGTTCGTGTTAGAATTATTAATCTTATCCTTTCCTTATTAAGGGTATTAAACCTTACCCTATATATATATATATATATATATATATATATATATATATATATATATATATATATATATATATATATATATATGTGTGTGTGTCTTACCTAGTAGCCAGAACGCACTTCTCTGCCTACTGTGCAAGGCCCGATTTGCATAATAAGCCAAGTTTTCATGAATTAATTATTTTTCGACGACCAAACCTACCTAACCTAACCTAATCTAACCTAACCTATAAAGATAGGTAAGGTTAGGTTAGGTAGGGTTGGTTAGGTTCGGTCATATATCTACGTTAATTTTAACTCCCCCCCAAAAAAATTGACCTCATACGTAATGAAATGGGTAGCTTTATCTTTTCATAAGAAAAAAATTAGAGAAAATATATTAATTCAAGAAAACTTGGCTTATTAGGCAAATCGGACCTTATTAGGCAAATCGGACCGAGAACACACTTCTCGGCCTACTATGCAAGGCCCGATTTGCCTAATAAGCCAAGTTTTCCTGAATTTCAATATTTTTCTATTTTTTTACTTATGAAATGATAAAGCTATCCATTTCATTTAATGTATTCCCAAATGGTCTGATGTTCCCATCACTGAAACATAAGAAAAAGAGTTAAAAAACGAAATGAAAAACAATGAAAAAAATAAAAAATAAACTATAGTCATGAAATGAATGGTATGGTAAACAACACAGCTCAATTCAACCCCAATGTCAAGCAAAATAATTAAATCAATATGAAAATAAATCAGAATCTATTAAAATTAAATTTATCAATGAATTCAGAAACATTGAAATGGAATCGTAACATATTTAGTATGGCGTGTGTTGCTATTACGTGCAAAAAATTAAGCTGTTTAAAAAAAAAAAAAGTTTTTACCTGTCACAGGTGTGGCGTCTATATAGTCGGTATAAAACACGTGCGAATTCAAATGAAACGTTATGTCAAACTTTCATGGCAATCGGTGAAGAACTTTTGGAGATTACAGTGTTTTGCTCTTATGTCCAACAGATGGCGCTTTTTGTAATAAACATGTTATTTCCTGTCACAGGTGAGGCATGTATATACTAGGTATATAAAAACACGCGCCTATTTGAATGCAACGTTGTGTCAAAATTTTAAAGAAATCGGTAAAGAGGTTTCACAGATTTCCCTCACATGAAAAACAGTTTAAAAAAAAGAATAAATATTTTTTCCCGTCACAGACGTGACATCTATAGAGCATGTATATAAAAACCCGCTCGGATGCCAATGGAACTTTGTGTGGAAATTTCAAGGCAATCGGTGAAGAACTTTCGGAGATTAGCAATAATGAACAAACGAGCATTTCCATTTTTATTTATATAGATATATAAGCATATATTATATACTGTCTATATAGTATGTCCTATATATTTATTTATTACACCTGAAAAAATTTGTAACTGAAAAATGTCGTAATTATTGGTTATTTACAAATGAGGGTTCACAAGTACATGTGCACCAAATGCGTGCACATGTACAAATGCAGAAATGACAAATACATGTGTATAAATACCTGTGCCCCTTTTCCAGGACAACCCAGCATATGACGTGTGGGCAACGATGTTGCTGGCATTGCCGGAAAGGAGTCACATCATGATGGGGAACGACGTATGGGTGTGGGCGGAGGACGATCAGGTGGCCCGGCAGCTGCTGCAGCAGTCACAGACCTGGGTGTTGCAAGATGGTCTCTCTCAGCCCATAGATCTCCCCTCTCTGGTCAGGATCTGCGGCTCCACACACATTGCCCACAATGGAGGCAGTCTCCCGCCATGTTAACATAATACAAATTATAATCACATTCCATCAGTCTTTAATTAACATTAAATTTGTACATATAGGGAATGGTGCGAACGTGGCACAATAGTTGACATATGTGTTCCTCAGTTCTGTTGACCTCAGCTGGATCTGACTAATAAATGAATGGGTGCCCGTGCGGCCAGCCTTCCCCATGATTTTCTGGGACCTGGACAAGCTTGCCAGACTTAGTGTTCCCCTATAATGGTGTACCAGGCATAATCAATCAAGCATATTTTTGGCTTTCAGGAAAAGAAGGTCATTATTCAACTGAATTAATCTCTGGTGCGCCCTCACTTGGATTATTGTATCCAGTCAAGAAAACATCATCTTCAGAAAGACAGCTGCATTAGAAAAACTTTAACACCAGGCAACAAAAATCATTGCAGAACTAATTCAACTACCGTAACAGGAACACAAGAGGGCCACCGGACTAATAACATTGCAAACCAGATATGACTGGGCTGCTCTCATCGAAACTTAAAATTCTGAACAATTTGGAGGAAGTTAATCCAGACAACTTCTTCTTCTTCCAGACAGACAACTTCAGGCCAGATGTAACACAAAAACGGAACACCAGTTTCAAGCTCAACAAGCCAGAACGTAGAACTGAAAAGAGTAGATGCTGTTATAGTAGCCTATACTATATAGTAGCATTAGCATTTAGTAGCATTTATAGAACTGAAAATAGTAGATGTAGATGCTATTGAGGCCCATAGTGTCATAAACCCATGGAACTACCTACCCGCCGAAGCCGTAAATGTCAAAACTCTGTTGAGCTTTATCACCCAGATTGAAAAAATCAGCAGGGCAAAAGGGGGACCTTGGACAAGAAACCAGCTTCCTGTCCTTGTCGAGGCCACTAGAGTGTAAATTTTACTATTGTTTGTGGTAAATTCAGCTAAATATTTTGTCTTTTCAATGGCATTCATTTCTATATAAATATTATTCTAAACTAAGCCACTCATTTTGGATCTTATTCTAACATTGGAATTTTAAAAATAATTTTTTGATTTATTTATATTTTTCACTCTTCATATGACCATTATGACAACAATTAAGAACTCTATGCAGACGAGGAGTCACAATAACGTGGCTGAAATATGTTGACCAAACCACACACTAGAAAGTAAAGGGACGACGGCATTTTGGTCCCTCCTGGACCATTCTCAAGTCGATTGTGATAAGGGATTGATTGATTTATGAAGATTAAGCCACCCAAAAGGTGGCACGGGCATGAATAACCCGTAAGTGGTGGCCCTTTTGAGCCATTATCAGTATCATTAGCTAATACTGGAGATCTGTGGCGGTGCGACTGCACCCTGCGTGACGGGAGATGTCTCCCGTGGTGATAAGGGAATGTTGTTGTTATAGATTCAGGTACTCGGAACGAGTTCCAAGTACCACGGGCTATGGTGAGCCCGTAACTTACCTGGCACAGGAGCGGGGCAAGTAGCACGGGCTATGGTGAGCCCGTAACTTACCTGGCACAGGAGCGGGGCAAGAAGCACGGGCTATGGTGAGCCTGTGTGATGAAGTTGATACAGGCTATAAATAGGCAAGAGAGAGGTGATGAGCAAGGCAAAAGGTACGAACGTTAAGGTGTAGTAGAGGGAATAGTAGTAGGAATAAGAACTGCAGAAGGCTCATTGGCCCATACGAGGCAGCTCCTATTATAACCACCAAATGAGAAGGGGATAGTAATAGGAATAAGAAGAGGATAGCAAGGGAACGTAAGAGAAAACAATGAACAGAAAAGAGAGAGAAGAGAGAAAGAAAAGGAAAGAGAAAGAAAGATAAATGGAAGGGTAAGCTTATGTTAGGTCACGTTTGTTAAAAAGATTAGAGCATTTGAGTATATATGATAAGGGAAGGAGGCGAGGCAATAAATAGGCAAGAGAGAGGAGAGGAGAAGAAAATCTTAGAGGAAGAAAAAGCAAGGCAAAAGGCACGAAAGGTAAGGTGTAATAAAAGGATAGTAATAGGAATAAGAACATAAGAACGAAGGTAACTGCAGAAGGTCTATTTGCCCATACGAGGCAGCTCCTATTAATAACCACCCAATAAGAAGGGGATAGTAATAGGAATAAGTAAGGGCTCGTTAGAGAAAATAAGGGGAAAGAAAAAGAAAAAAGGAAAGAGAAAGAGAGATAAAGGGAAGGGCAAGATTATGTTAAGTCACGTTTATTAGAAAGTTTAGAGCATTTGAGTATATATTTCGAAAGGGAAGAGTTAACACCAACAAGGCCAGGACTCAAGTTCATGTTGGGTACGTTGTGTATTTGAGCCGATTCAACAAGACGGCGTCTGTGAAGAGTAGAGGAAGGAAAGATTATTTTGGAGGAAGACCAATCAATAGGATGATTAGAATCCCTAACATGACAGAAGAGAGCATTGAACAAATCCGCAAGGGCCGTGACGAGGATTCGAGCCTGCGACTGAGAGCATCCCAGACGCTGACTTAATCGACTGCTTAAACATGGTTACAGGATGCTCTCGGACGCAGGTTCGAATCCTCGTCACGGCCCTTGTGGATTTGTTCATTTGATGCATCACGCCATTGTGATTTCTGTGTGTAAGAGAGCATTGTTTGTGTCTGCAGACTTAACACTTCTATTGTGTTCTTTAAGTGTCATTAAGTGTACGGCCAGTTTCACCAAAGTATTGGAGAGGACAAGATGAAAAGGAAATAGAGTAGACACCAGCAGCATTAGAAGCAGGAGGAGCAGTGTGGACTAGATTACTACGAAGTGTGTTAGTTTGTCGAAAGGTGAGTTTAATGTCAAGAGGACGAAAGGTATTGGTAAAAGTTTTGAGTTCAGATATGAAGGGAAGGCAGAGCACAGTGCTACTAGTGTTGGTTTAGGATGAAAGAAATTTAGTTTACCTTGAGAATAGGCACAGTTGATAAAATGCAAAGGGTAACCAAGGATAGAGAATGATTTGTAGATAAAGCCAGTATCAGAATCAAGAAACTGAGGGTCGCTGATGCGTAGAGCGCGGAGGAAGAGAGAGACGAAGACACTTTCCTTTTTTTTTAATCATGTCTCTTTTTGATAGTCTTGTATCTTTCAAAGACGTGATGTTAATTTTATGTAGCTTTCCCTCCTAACTCATACGTCTCAGTTCTGAAAGAAGTCTGATGTCATACATCTGAACTTTCTCTAACTTCGCCATGTGCTTGACGAGATATGGACTCCACGATGGAGCTGCATACTCCCAGACTGGTCTGACATATGTGGGATACAAGATTATGAATGATTCATTGCATCAATTTCTAAAGGGAATTCTTATGTTGGCCATCCTAAGAACTGCGTATAGAAATGTTTGTAAGGAATTATTCAGAGCCTCGTATATCGCATCAGTTATGTCAGGTAAACAATGAAGTATGCGCTGGGTATGTGTATTTACTATTTGTGTCTGCAGAATACAAGCAAACTCTATTCATAATTTTAAAATTAGGTATGATAGGGAAATGGGACCGGAATCATTGCTGTAAACAACCGATGGCTGGAAAGGCGGGATCCAAGAGTCAATGCTCGATCCTGCAAGCACAAATAGGTAAGTACAAATAGGTGACTACACACACACACACACATACATTCATAAATATATATATCCTCAGGCAGCAGCCCGTAGCAGATGCCTTACTCCCAGGTACCTATTTACTGCTAGGTGAACAGACGCATCATGATGAAAGAAACTCTACCCATTTGCTACTGCCTCGGCCAGGAATCTAACCCGAGATATTAGGACTATAATGACCAAGCGCTGTCCACTCAGCCACGAGGCCCCTAAAGATGAATACCTCTTAGACCGTCAAAAGAAGAAGCGACACATTCTAGTTAATAATGTTAACAACTTTGCCTTCAGGGAGACTCGAACTCCCGACCTCTGGTTTACTAGACCAGCGCTCTGCCCACTGAGCTATGGAGGCTCTCCGAGGTTGTCTGTGTGTGTGTGTGTGTGTGTGTGTGTGTGTGTGTGTGTGTGTGTGTGTGTGTGTGTGTGTGTGTGTGTGTGTGTGTGTGTGTGTGTGTGTGTTTACTAGTTGTGTTTTTACGGGGGTTGAGCTTTGCTCTTTCGGCCCGCCTCTCAACTGTCAATGAACTGTTTACTAACTATTTTTTTTTTCCACACCACACACTCACACACACACCCCAGGAAGCAGCCCGTGACAGCTGACTAACTCCCAGGTACCTATTTACTGCTAGGTAACAGGGGCATTCAGGGTGAAAGAAACTTTGCCCATTTGTTTCTGCCTCGTGCGGGAATCGAACCCGCACCACAGAATTACGAATCCTGCGCGCTATACACCAGGCTACGAGGCCCCTGTGTGTGTGTGTGTGTGTGTACTCACCTAGTTGTACTCACCTAGTTGTGTTTGCGGGGGTTGAGCTCTGGCTCTTTGGTCCCGCCTCTCAACCGTCAATCAACAGGTGTACAGATTCCTGAGCCTATCGGGCTCTGTCATATCTACACTTGAAACTGTGTATGGAGTGAGCCTCCACCACATCACCCCCTAATGCATTCCATTTGTCAACCACTCTGACACTAAAAAAGTTCTTTCTAATATCTCTGTGGCTCATTTGGGCACTCAGTTTCCACCTGTGTCCCCTTGTGCGTGTTCCCCTTGTGTTAAATAGACTGTCTTTATCTACCCTATCAATCCCCTTCAGAATCTTGAATGTGGTGATCATGTCCCCCCTAACTCTTCTGTCTTCCAGCGAAGTGAGGTTTAATTCCCGTAGTCTCTCCTCGTAGCTCATACCTCTCAGCTCGGGTACTAGTCTGGTGGCAAACCTTTGAACCTTTTCCAGTTTAGTCTTATCCTTGACTAGATATGGACTCCATGCTGGGGCTGCATACTCCAGGATTGGCCTGACATATGTGGTATACAAAGTTCTGAATGATTCTTTACACAAGTTTCTGAATGCCGTTCGTATGTTGGCCAGCCTGGCATATGCCGCTGATGTTATCTGCTTGATATGTGCTGCAGGAGACAGG